ACCAAAACTTAAACCTTGTACTGAAACGAAACTCCAATGGACTTTGTAATTTGGTCACAAAGCTCTTGAATCTATTGAACTTTAAGGGCTTGAGCCTTGCCTCTTTAAATCTTTTAATTGAATTTGAACTTCGAAGTAAGGAAAATCAAATTGTGCAAGCCAGTCTTAAAACCAAAAATTAACAGTAATGTCCTTATTCACAATCTCTTGACGACATTCGAAAAAGCCGCCAACACACTTTAATGCGGATATCCAACACCGTCTTGAATAGAACAAAGAACAAGGGAAAGTAGAATTACTGGTACAGTTGAATCCGCTTTTGCGGTTATAGCCAGATCCGTAGCAAACTGAGTTTTGGAATAGGCTTATTCATATGCAAAATTTCCTTCAATTGAGCTTAAATTTCCGAACGGTAAACTTTAAACCCAATCGTACTAGTCAAGCCTCCGTGATGCCTGGTTATAAGAGAATGTACCTTGACATTACTGCGCCTGCGCAAACTGGTTAACCGTACGCAAAAGTAAAAGAAAACAAGCTAGAAAAAGCACAAGGAGGGGGGATCTTAAGGTCAAAAATTAGGGTGTGACAGATGCCCCTATTTAAGTTACTCCTATCCGGAGATATGAAGATTGAAATCTTTGTCTCGACGAGATAGGAGAGACTTAAATACGAACATTGCACGAATTTTTGGCCATAAGAAGCCACCAAATGCAAATAATATGCAATGATATGAGAATGCAGGATAGAGGGTCCTGTGAGGAAAGACGTCAGAGGGGAGAAACTAAACACGACAAACGGGAAGAACAGGCACAACCAAGCGAGACTCTGCGGGGAAGATTGACAATCTCAAAGTATCTGTAAACATGTTGCAAAGAACTTGTGGGAAAATCTATTGGAAGAACCGACCGTATAGGTCAAATGTAATGATTTCGAGATATCAGCTGGAGAAGTCTATTGTCGAGACTTGTAACTGTAATTGAGAATACTTTCGCCAAAGTATTTGCTGTGAAAAACTTTTAAGGAATCTGCTGCCGAGACTCTGTGTTGAAGTTTGCTGGAGATAATAACTTCTGACGAAGTCTTCTGGAAATCTACTGCCGAGATGAACTAGGAAATGAAATCGTAATACCTACTGCCAAGGTCTACTAGTAATCTTCTGCCAAGATTAGCCAGGAAATAAAATTGAACTACCTACTGCCGAGGTCTTCTGGGAATCCACTGCCGAGGTTAACCAGGAACTGAAATATGTTTGAGTAAATTGGGTATTCTGTTGAAAATAGTGTGAACAAAACCTCCCCGCGCCTCATGGTCTGGATGCCATAAACGGGGCTCAGTTTCCTTGAAATAAACCTCCCCGAGCGTCATGGTATGGGAACCATGAGCTGGTCTCAATTTCTTGAAATAACTCCCCCACGCCTCATGGTGTGTGTGCCATGAACGGGTCTCAGTCTCTAATGTAGAACCTTCCCGAGCGTCATGATATGGGAATCATGAGTCGGTCTCAGTCTCTACCTCGAGTGATGAAAACTCGTGAGAGCATCTTCACAGGGGATTGAAAATTTGTAGATTGTAGATGTTGTTTTAGATTGTAGATGTTGTAGATTGTAGATGTTGTTCGTTGTAGAACTTGTAGACGTTGTTCGTTGTAGAACTTGTAGATGTAATTTGTAAATGTAGTTGTCAATGTAGTTGTAAATGTGAAGCTTCACCGGGGATCTTCGGAAGAGATGTGAGCCGGTTGTATGTCTTCTCAAATAAAGAGAGACTATTGTGATAAACTTCTTCGACTTCTCCAGGGAGATGTCAATGCTGGAAGTAAACTCGTGTGATGAACTCGCTGGGGAATAAATTCCTGGGGAGTACCTTTGTTGTTGTAAAAATGTGCGAATTCTCAAATAAAGAGAAATGTCTGTAATGTCTATTTCATTTACCAAGTTGATAATCACTGGGGATGGACAAACTGTCTTGAGGAGACTGTCATTTGTCGTTTTGATAAAAACCTGATTGAAATGAGTTGCTCAAATAAAGAGCTGCTTGCAATTCAGATGTAAATTGTTGAGGAATTCTGATAATACTGTTGGAGAAATGCATCTTCAATAGTTATCTTCATAAAGAAAACCCTTTCTTGGGGAGCCGAGTGCAAAATAAATGCACGTTGAATCCATATTCAAAAGCCTGGAGATATCCACAATTTGATTGCCAGAGACCGCAATTCAATTCAGGAAATAACTGAAGAGAAACCGTCAAACAAGACTCGACTATTGAGGTATGAACTCAAGTGGGATTGTACTAAAGTAACCGTCTTCCACGAGGATCGAACTCTGTGGGGAAATAGAAATGTTGTGCTCTTTTCTGCCTAGGGCTGACAACTCTACTTGGATGGAGAATACGCGCTCAACCACTCGGGGATAACCACGACCAAAGCGACAAAACAAACCAATGCAAAGATGCAAAATGCATATGACATGCTATCTATCTATATGTTACGCGTATGCTATGCTGACAAAACAAAAGAACAAAGGCAAACAGAGACGAAATAAACATCTCGAAGCAAACACCCGACCAATCTTCAAAGATAGAAGTATCACTGGGGATGGGTGGAGAACCAAATACGGGATCACACTTCTGCTTCAGGTCTTGAAAACCTCTACTTGGGGAATAGAGAGCATTCCACTTGGGGGATAAAACACGTTGATCAATCTTTGTTATCTTGTTGAAGATGAGAATAAAGATCTACTATGGGTGGATCAAACTCACAACTGGAGAAAACCATGGATAAAGTATGTATCCGTCTCGCTGGAGAGACTCATGCTGGAGAAGATCGACGTTGTAGAAGGTTCACTAGGGAGTAAAATACGTCCACTTCACTAGGAGTGTGAAGTTGGTGAAGCAAATCACTGAGGATTAAAATATTATCTACTTCATTGGGGAAGTGAAGTTGAGAAAATCACTAGGAATTCTTGCATTGAAAGGCTTCATCGGAGAAATGTCATGACCACCAGAAGTAAAATTTATCGGGGACATGAGGAAGAATGTTGTAAGAACAAGGTAATTCTGCCTTGATGAACTGCGTGATGGTAGTCGTTTGAACAATAGTTTGTTGTGAGTGGATAACATGATCTTCGCTTCTCAGATGCCCCAAGTCAACTGGTTATGAGAAGAACTCGTCCATGGCGTACCATTGATTTCAAACTCTTTGAGAGATTCGCCAAATCTCGACGTAACTGGCTTTGATCGACGGTATGATGACCGAGTCTTCAGAAATAGCTTCTTTAGGTGAAGTCTAATTTGCACAGAATAACCACTTGGAAATAACTTGCCCCAGGCTGGCGGAGTCCTCAAATTCCAACAGAACAAACTTAATGTTGATGTTCGTGTACAAAACTTTCTATGACCTCGGCAAAGATCAACACGTATGAGATGTTAATTCTGAAACCGTTAATACAACATATGTTTGTCCTGAAGTTTTGAAAAGAGATATCGCGATAACTGGTGACCGAAATCACTAGTTAGGATATAGATTTATTTTTTATAAAGCCAACAAAAATTGAGCGTAGCTCATAGGAGTCAGGAAACAATATCTCACTGAGTATGCTTTCGAGGTAACCTTACTTCAATAAGGACTTTTGAAGGTTATATAGAGGTTTAGTTTACGGTTTGTAAAACAAATGAAAAGGGGTCAAAGCTTAGTTGTACCCACCCATTTTTGAAGATTCACTATTTTTGAAAGGTTTAAGTGTTCAATCAAGTTGATTAAAATTTTTGCCTAAGGTCTAAAAATGAGGTTGAAAAATGGTTAAAAAGGAAATAACCACTTTATGTTTTGGGTGTTTAGGAGGTTTGAATCGATGCCTTACATCATCAGTAGGGTTTTATTCAAAAGCATACCTCAGGAGACTTTACGTTTTACTTCATCATCTTCCTTCCAATTCTTCACCAAAGTGAGGAAAATTGGGTAAAGTTGGCATTATAAGAAATTATGAAAAACATTTTAAGAGTGAATACGAATGGACTTCTTCAAGACAAACACTTATTACACTACTTATTCAAAATAACATGTTCTTACATGCCAATAATGCTTTTAATCAAAGAAATAAAACAAGAACACACAAGCAAACACAATAAACAGGTGATCAGTATAACGATGTTCCATTCACGATTGGTCTTCCTCCTTTGAATGTTAGCACTTCATTGTCATACCCTAAATTTGCCCGCTAGCTTTTGTAAATATTTTTCGTATTATTTATTTTTGCATATTTCATTTAATTTTGTGCCATTTGGACACGTGTCCACCCCGATTGGGCGTTTCTCAAATCTCAACTTATTTTGCCCAATGAGATTGTGACACGTGGCCAAAGAGCATATTGGTAAATTTTGTTTTCATCTTCATTTTCCCTTTTTCTTTTCAAATATTAAATTTCTGTATATTATTTTTGTTTTAACTTTTATTTAATTTAAGTATATTGTTTTATTTTATTTTTAGAATTAGGATAGTTATTTATTTTTCCTTTAGAATATATTTTATTTTAATAATTTATAAATAGATTTTTTTTAAGTAGAATTTAGTTTATTAAATAGGTTCATTACATTGTTAGAGTTATTTAGAATATATTGAAATAGTTTATTTTATTTAATTTATTTTAATTATTAGTATTATTAAATTAGAATTAATTTGTTTTATTATTCAGATTTTTATTTAGTTTAAATTAATTAGTGGTGTAGATTAATTAGGAGTTTATTAGTAGTACAATTTAATCAAAACATCATCAGCATTAATCACCATTTAACATTTAACCAAGCCCTTAACCAGTGCCACGTGTCAGCCTTTTAGAGTATAAATACACTGTTCATTGTCTTTGAGTTGGGACCAACCCTAACCCCACAGCAAGCCTAGCCGCCTGTCTTTCTTTCTCCAAACCACCTCTCATATACTTCACCAACCCTTCCTTACCATCCTCAACTCTAAACCATAACCTTCCTCAATAAACCGAATCACATCCATGGAAGAATCAGTTTCACAAGGGAAGCCACTTAACAAGGAACAAGAGGAAGTTCTCCGTTCAAAACCCTCCGTTCTCGTTCTCATTGATGAGTTGGAGAAGCTTCGTCAACCGCTTTCCGTTGCCCTAACTGAAGAACTCGACCTCGCCCTTCAGAACAACCGTGAAACCCTACCTGAGAATTCCGTTCCAAACTCTGTTCCCGCTCCGAATTCCGCTCCCAATTCGGAACAACGGCCGAACCAGAACGGGGATGTGGTTGAGGATATTCTCAATTTGCTTTACTTTGGTTCGCTTTTTGAAGTGAAGACACAGAATGATTTTACTTCTACTATGCTTACGAGGACGCATGAGCGTGGATGTTGTTTAACTTATGATTATGTTACTGATGATGCCACCGATCTGCCTGGGGAGAAGGATTTGGACTCGATCTCTGCGTTGTTTGGGTTGTTGATTTCTCGGCCTGCTGATTCAAGCTTTTCGCATAAGAACGCGCTTCGGAGATACATTGAGCATGCTAAGTTGTGGGTTTCTAGGGCTCAACAGCCTATTGACCCCAATGTTGATGTTACATATGCTGGTTTGAGGGAGAAGTTGGACAAAATTATGTCTTCGGAGTACTTTACTACTACTCCTGAGATGAAGGCTCCAGTTGATGTTGCTGCTGCAGCGGCTGGAAATTATGGGTCTTTTCAGGTGCCCGTGCATGATTCCGTGGTTTCTGTCGAAGTAGAAGGTTCTGATTATCAGCCTGAGGAGAAGGACGAGAGAGCTGCTAATTTTCAAGGACAAGGATCTGGAGATGATCCGTCTGATCCCGAAGGAGAGTTTCAAAAGGATGAAGTAGAGGCAGAAAATGCAGTTGAGGTGGCATCAGTCCAACACGAGCAGGCTAATGCTCAGGGGGACACGGAATACAATCAAGCAGATGGAGAGGGAAAGGAGCAACAGAATTACCCTAGGAGGGGGGGTTATCAGAATCAAAGAGGTGGCCGCGGTGGTGGAGGAGGCAGAGGGTTCCCAAATGGCCGCAACCAATTCTATGACCAGCCTGGAAATTATTATCCCAGAAACTATTATAACAACAGAGGACGTGGAGGCAGGGGAGGTGGCTACTACAGCAACAACGGCGCAGGCGGTCAAGTTAATCATGTTGCAGGTGATGTTGGGGTGCAATCTTGATAAATTATGTTTTGTTCATAGTGTTTGTTACTATAATTGGGTGGGGGTGAACTTTTTTATTCGTCTGGCATGAAACATGTTTTGAACAATTTTGTTTGAACTTCCGACATCCAGACTCCGCCATTTTGTAGTCCAGTAGCAAAGTTAACCTTTATCCCAAATCTTAAGGGAAGAAGTGACCTTTTTTTTTGTGTTTTTTTATTATTATTATTATTTTTCTTCAGCTTATTCTTGGTTTGGGCTGCAAGCTCATATGAACTTTAAAATCACACACCCTATTTCACTCACAAAACCCCTCTGTTTTTTTTATATAAATATTATTATTTTTGTAAATATTATTATTATATTTATTATATTTATGCTTTTAATATCTATTTTGTAAATATATTATGTACATTATTATTTTATGTAATATTATTTTAGTTTTAGATTTTTAGAGTCTTATTTTCTTAATCTTTTCTATTTAGAGCTTTATTAAATTTCTTAACATTTCTTATTTAAAATTCTAATAGCATTTTTATTTTAGAGGAAATTTTATTTCGCATTTGTTATTGGGATTTTTATCCTACTTTCATCTGTTTTGGTCGATGACGAGACCTCCGTAATTCATTACCAGTCAAATTATTGATAGGTAATGTTGGATCTGAGACCACCTCTTTTCTATCCACATTATGCCCCGATTCGATTCAAAACATGGTCAAACCATCTTCAAAACAATTCTTCGTGTTGAATTAAAAATAGAGGATTGGGTGTAGACCCCTTCTTCTTCGAGCGTTGGGATGCCCACTGTAGTGAGGGTGGTCTCGATGCTCGTCTGTCAATACGAAGACGCTTCCAACATTTCCTCATAAAACCTCGGTCTCGTACTGAGTATACTTTCAATAATAATTTGATTTCTCTTTGTACCGAATTAAAAGAGGGGATTAAGTGTAGACTTTCTTCCTCTCCGAGTGTTGGGATGCCCACTGTAGTGAGGGTGGTCTCGATACTCGTATTTTGATACGAAGACGTAACTTTATCCATCACATATCTCTTTATCCACCATCTCGCTTTTACATTCCTTCCGTAACCCTTTTCACACCTAAAACCTCGGTCCTGTACCGAGTGCATTTTCAAATCATTTTCGTAACAAAAACTTGAATGGTCGTGGAGTGGTTAGGCGTAGGCCTTCTCCTATCCCGAGTGCTGACATTTACCGTAGGGTTCTCTGTCGCAAAGCACTTACCATTCAAAACCAAAAACATCTTTAATAAGAGAACGGAGTTCTCTTTGCATTGAATTAAAGAGAGAGGATTGGGTGTAGACCTCTTCTTCTCCGAACGTTGGGATGCCCACTGTAGTGAGGGTGGTTTCGACGCTCGTCTTTCAATACGAAGGCGCCTCGTTCACCACACCCTTTTATAACAAAAAACTTTGAGATAATGAATTGGGTACTACCCGTAGGGGTTACTATCTGAGGACTTGTCTCGCCCCTAAAAAACAATCCAATCAATCAAATGAGACTTCTTGCCTCGCGTGGCGAAAATTAATCAATCTTTCAAAAAGGATATGTTACGTCCGTTCTACCGCAAACAGGTAATGCCTAAGTCTCCAACGAGCGAGCAGCAAAACACCTAACTGCTAGAATGCGCACGATAGCATCATCCATAAAAAACATCAACACACCGTAGGCCGAACTACGGCTGCTCTGATTCTTTACTTCGTTCAAGTAAAGATACGTAGGCACAAGGGCCACAATCCTTGCCGAGCACACTTTCCCCCATCTATCCGTAGCCCCGAACTACGTCGACTCTGACTTTCTCATACCTATTGAGAATACGTAGGCCTAGGACCGCGAAGTCCTACCGAGTCCGTTCTTTCTCCACTCCCCTCTGTTATCTCTCTTTCCCCGTCTCTAATACCCTTTTCTTTTACCCTGTGGAACACTTCTTATAGCATAATGTTTAAGCAGATAAATTCACACATCGACAAACAAAAGGTTCCCATCGAGTACGATGGATGCGAGGGGTGCTAATACCTTCCCCTCGCATAACCGGCTTCCGAACCCATTCTTGGTCGCGAGACCATCTTATCCATTTCTTTCTTAAGGTTTTCTCGATATTTTCCTTTCCCCTCATGGGATAAATAAAGTTCGGTGGCGACTCTTCTGTCCTATCTTTTTCGCCTCCCCGTCGTTGCACGATGCATTTTTTCGAGTAGCGACATTCATCATCTATCATCTCTTGGACTTTCTCTTGAAAACTTTGCACTCTTCAATTGAATGCCCCAACACCCCATCATGAAATTCACAGCTGGTGTTTGGGTTGAACCACGGTGGATGAGATTTCATGACTCTAGTCTTTCTAGGTGTCATCACCGAGTTTCTAGCGAAATGAGACCATAACTAACTGTAAGTCATTGGGATAAGATCAAACCAACAAGTCTCTTCTTTCGGAGTATTCAGAGGTGTCTTTTGATTCTGAAACCGTCTTCGAACCGGTCGATTCTAATGCTGATCTGGAGAAATTAATCTTTGTTTATGAGGTAGTCGTCGTCTGCGCTGAGCGGGCGCTTCATACTGATGTTGAGGATAAGGTTCTGGAACCGGCAGGATTTGAGAAGAATCCCAGACTGCATTAACATCAACGCTTCCTTCCTCTAGGGAATCATCAACTGAAATTCCTTTATTAGCTGGACCATTCAAGTTATCACGGATTCTTCCACTTTTGAGTGCGTTCTCAATGTTTACTCCGACTTCTATAATTTTAGAGAAATCTAATGGCACAACGCCCACCATCCTAACATAAGAAGAGTCTGGCAGTGTTCTTAGAAACATCTTGCTTAAATCTTTCTCTGGAAGTGGTGGACGAACTTGGGCTGCCAACTCTTTCCATCGCTGAGCATATTCCCTGAAAGATTCATCATCATTGTTACTCATTCCTTCTGGTTGATCACTGTCTGGAGTCACGTCCAAATTATAGTTGTATTGCTTCACGAAAGCATCAACTAAGTTTCTCCAAGATTGAATGTGATTCCTTTGTAGATTCATATACCATATCAAGGATGCCCCAGATAAGCTTTCTTGGAAGCAATGAATCATCAATTCGCCGTTGTCAACATAAGCAGCCATCTTTCGACAAAACATTGTCAAATGGTATCTTGGACAACTAGTACCCTTGTACACTTCAAAGACATGCATATTGAACTTCTGAGGGATAATTACGCCTGGAACCAGACATAGGTCACGAGCATCAATATCAGATGCATTAGCTTCTTTCACTATCTTCAATTGTTCTTTAAAATTACATAATTCTTTCGCCGTTGCTATAAGTCTAGGATCGTCCATCTTCATCTTAGTACGAACATTCTGAAGATTTGGTACATTCTGTAGAGGCTGGGAAGCTTGAACAACCAAGTTGTCTTGCACAGGATGAGGTTGAGTAGGAACATCCCCTTGTTGAACAAAGTCGTCAGAAGGGAGATCGAATAACGGATTAGTCACCACTCTGAAACCAGTCGTAGAATCCATATCCTTCGTTCTCTTTCCTATCCTTTAGTAATACTTCAAGCTTGGTCAGATGGTCGAGATGCCTGATAGGCAAAGACAGAAGACCGGATGAGCCACAGAAGAGGAGAGACACATGCATATGCAGAATGCTAAATGAAGGATGCTAATGCAAGAATGCAGAAAGGAGAGGTTTCATGGAACTCAAGTTCTTATAAACGTTACAGAATACCAAAGAAAATTCATGTATTATTTTTTTTACTATTATATTTTTTATATTGGATTACAAGGAAACAACCTTATAAGAGTCCTTTCTTAATAGCTAAATAAAGCTAAGAAAGCCCTAAGGAAGTCCTTCATCGTGCTTGTTGATTTGTTATCTACTAGCTGGATATTATTGAATATGAGTCGTCCAACAGCTAAAGATTAGTTTGATAGAGGAAAATAAATCCTCCATCTCTTCTTTTTCTCTTGTTGGAAGTAAGGGGGGAATCCTTTATTCACATGGATCTTCAATGATAATGAGAGTCCTTTGAACTTCTAATAATCCTCCATGATAGGGGAAGCTTCTCATATTTGTCCTTTGAGTTTTCTTCAATCTGAGCTCCTACTTCCTTAGGCCATCCGAGTTAGGACTCTTAAAAGGATATTTCAAAATATTTTCTTTTGTAATCCATGTTGGTTTCTATAATGTTTATAAATAAACTAGGAATTCCATGAAACCTAATGTAGTATAATGCCATATGAATGCAGCAAACACAAGTAAGCACATAGGGACACAAAGATAAACAAAAGGGAACCCTAGGTTTGCAACGAGCATGGAGCCAAGGTATACCCATTCCCAAAGGTTGTGGACTAAAGGTTGTTTGTACCTGCAGAACAAGGTTCTAATAAGGTTCCCAAAGTCATTAGCCCATCTTTCGAATATTATCAACTTCCCAAGTACTCGAGGGTTAATAATATTCTCAAGAGAACTTCTTTTAAGTGTAGTATTGCGTAGCACTATTTCGGGGGTACCCCCTCATAGCCCCGCACTACATCCTAATAAAAGTCAAAGTGGGGTTAAGGTAACTATGGTCCTCAATATCATAGGCTCCAACATCGAATATAGTGCATGTTTTCACGATTAAGGACTCGTTCAACAATACAATTTTCGAGAAGGCCTCAATTGAGCGTGATTTTCAAGTCAGCTTGGTCGGGATTCCACCCCCTATAAGCCTCTTTGAACATATCACTATCCTATCTTAAGTTCACTCAAGTCCGGATGTAGGACTTTGTCTCACCACTCAAAGGTATCAACCCAAAGGTAAGAAACAAACAAGTAAACAATTATACAAATAACAAATATATAAGCAATAAACAAGTAGAAACAAGATAGGGGAAACCCACTGACATCCCCAGTGAAGTCGCCATTTCTGTCGCGGTGAAAATCGGATACCAAATTATTGATTAGTTTGAATCTCTAATTCATTTTGCAACCGAACTTTGATTTGTCCAAAGGAAGGGATAAAGATCG